GACTGAATTGAGCTCAACAGGAGCGTGATAATAATTTGGATTTCTTACTTATTATCTGCATTATCCCTGCTATTGCTCCCCTTCACAGCTGTGACCTTCACACATATCAGTCACACTTCCTGATAACCTCACAGACAGAATCTCAGCTGCAGGTTTCCTTCCCTCTCCTGAGATTAGAAACTGAGATTCTGTAAAAAGTTTATTTTGACTTATGGCTGAGTTTTGAAAAGTCCTGGCTTGTTTTTTTGATGCTTTTTTTCACTTGATGCACACATGGATTTAACTTCAGTGCAGTCCTGGCTTGATCATTTGTGTCCTTTGACACCAGAAATTCTAAGTGAAATACAGAAGGATGCAGAAATTAATAGTGAAAACAATGGCGCTGGTTGAAGGATGAGAGAAAACTGACATGAGTTAAAGCAAGAAAGGTTCTGGTTGGGTATAAAGGAAAATATTTCACCCATGAGGACAGACAAGGAGTTAGAAAGGCTTCCCAGAGAGGCTGTGCAGCAAAACCCTGTAATTTATCTATTTCACAGAACTGTTTTGCCTTGAATCTGGAAGTCTCATTATTCAAACTACAAAGACAATAAAAATATTTTAATCAACATATTTGGATTGGACAAATCCTTTGCTACTTTTCTGGATTTTTCTATGACTTTAAAAAAATGGAGAGGACTTGAAACCTACAGGTTATGTTTCACTGAACTTAGAAGGCAAAGTTTTTTGTTTAAGGATGAGTTTTTTTCATTTCCTTTCCTATTTGAAAGGAGCAAAAATTGAATAAAAAGTTATTTTTGTTCTTGAGATTTTGCAAAACACTGTGCACACTAACAAATACCTTTCTATTCCTGCTTCTATTTTTTTCTTTCATTTACACAAGTCTTTTGTAATAAGTAAATTACCCACTAAATCTAGGTAAGTCTCTTCCCTTCTTTAGTTATCCTGGTTTTCCTGTACCTTTCCTTTTCCATTATCTGGAGAAAGGAGAGGAAGATTCATCATCCTCCAGGGCTGAAGCTTGGCTTGCCTTGGCAAGGAAGAGGGAGCAGGGAAGGATGGTTGTGTTGCTTTGGTTGTCTGTTCTTTCTCTCAGGGTGCTGCTCATGTTTGATTAGCCTGCTTAATGAAGAACATCTTGTTAAAATTAAAGATCTGTCGTATTTAGCATAATCTTGCCAATTGTTAATTAGTGTATTGACAAGGGAATGGGTTGGATTTTGCCTTCCAGCAGCATCTTCTCCCCTCCCCAGGCCTGTCCTGCCAAAATAAAGATCCTTGCAGTCACAACATGTTTGGGAGCCCATATGACACGTCTGTGAACGCTGCCTTGGAGCACTGGTGCACAGGGAAGATACATAAGCTATTAGCAAAATCCAGTGTGAAACCTCAAAGCACAAAAGACTCAAAGCTGGGGAATCCTTTGTGTCACTAATTTATCATGTAGATACAGATTTCACATCCTTTAATGATGTTTTCTCTGGTTTGGGCAGGTTCTGGTATTCATTCGTGTTTTTGAACAGGAGCCCATTTGTATAAAAGACGTGTTTATAATCTCTATTTCAGGAGCAAATCTTTTGTTTGCCCTTTTTCTGCTGACTGAGGTGCTTAGAATCTGATCTTTAGCCTCCCCTAGGACAGCTTTGGGATTTTTGTGGGGTTTCACTCATTCGTATCTCTTGCCTGGTGCTTTCCAGTTGGAAGAGAGAGATGTGATTAGAAACATCTTTGCCCCAAATTGATGAGAACTCTGCACAGCATCACTGTCAGTTTGATATAGGATGCAGGGGAGCTCCCAGAGGGTGTTGGAACCCTTTATGTCCTTTCAACAATCAGGATTTCTGTTCTGCATTCAGAGAGCCCAGTGGAGCTCCCAGAACACCTCAGGACCTGGGGGAAGGAAAGTCTTTCCAACTCCCCCTAATCCCACACTGGTCTGCTGCTGCCTCTAGTCCAACTCATCCATTAAACTCTGGATCATGAGTAAACTACTTCTGTGGTGAAAGGATAGAAGTATTTACCCATTTATTGATTTATTGATTGATTGTATTTTCAGGGAAAATTTTAGTGGGAGTTTGTTTTTAATTTCAGTGTAGCAATTTCAGTGGTGATGGAGTTGGTACCAATGAGGGACCATCCCTCATGATTCCCTCCTCCTCATGGATCCTCATGATCCATGATTCACACACTTAGGAGAGAGACAAATGGTGGGGATGTGGAGAACCTTTTGATGGCAATTGGCAGGTGAGGTTAGGTGAGTGTTGCTGTCACTTTATGTAAATCAGAGGCAATGCTTTACATTTGTCTTTGGGGACAGCTGCTTCATTCTCTCGATTGTGAAATATGTTCAGGCCTTTAATGGAAACACCCAGTTGCCTGAAATTAAATAGCTTATTAGGTCTTCTATCTTCTTCTCATTGTAGGGTTTATAATGGCCCAGCCTGATCTTTAATTTCTCTGCAAAAAATTTTTTCGCTCTTAAATCAGTTTTCAAGTCACTTTATGAAAAAAAGCATTAAAAAGGATTGGAAAGAAAGAATCCTGTAGCAATCTGTATTTCTTTTTCTTAGCCCTAAGATACCATGGTCACAACATTTGTCAGTTCTATCCATGTCAAATTAGACCCTGGCTCATTAATTTCTGCCCAACATTTGGTGTCCTAATGCCTCAGTGATTGACGTGTTGAAGCTATTATCTTCCATTCAGTTTGATCAGCCTCAGGCAGGAGCCTGTAGTCATCTCCTCAGTGTTTGTGACAGCTCTTCTGGGTCAGAGTGTGCTCTCCAATGTGACATGGGAAAACCAAGCCTTCATTCACAGGACGGATGTTTAAAAGGAATTTTACTAAAGCAAGCATGTGGAGAAAAAATAAAATTTATAAAAAGGGTAAAAGGACACAGTGAAACTTCAAGCAAAAAAGTTTATCTTCTGAAGATATGGGACCATGGAGGACAAGAATCAATAGTAGCTGAGGTTTGGAAATCCCAACTGTTGAACATTTCAGGGATATTTTCTGTGGGAGCTGCAGGAATAAAGACCAGATAAAAGGCAGATAAATAGGGCAGGTTATTTAGAAAGCAGTTCCTTTCTGAGTGGTTCAAGATGTGATAAAGGGGTCAGGACTTTTACAGAAGAGTGATTTCACACAGCAATGCTCAAGATACCTTGGAACCTAAGAACTGGATCCATATGGGGGCAAATTGTTCTGTCATAGAATCCTGAAGTGGTTTGGGTTGGGAGAGACTTTAAAGACCATCCAGTTCCAACCCCCTGCCCTGGGCAGGGGCACCTTCCACTACCCCAGGTTGCTGCAAGCCTCCTCCAACCTGGCCTTGATTCTCCTTCTTTCCTCTCTTTTCCAAACCTATATCTCCTAAGCAGAGATGTGAGTATCTGGTTCTTCTTACCAAAGTCAAGGTGAGCTCCCCATCTTCCACACCCTTAGTGCCCCAAAATAATTTTTTTACTATAAAGAGTTCAGGAAATATAAATCAAGTGCAAAACTGCTCTGCTCCTAGTGCATCTGTCCCCATGTGGCAACATGACTTTTGGCTTGCCAAGAAAGCTGAGTACCACAGGTGAAATTGCTGTGATTTCTCATGAAGGAAATGAGGGAGACATTTATGTCCTTTATACTGCTTTCATCTCAAAAAAAAGAAAGGAAAAATTATACCAGGAATGGAATGTTTTCCCTATGTGAAAACATCTCAAAAACTTCAAAGTGAGCAAGAGAAAATAAGCTGGCAGTAATCTCTGTGAGAAATAAAACCAATCACTGAACAAAACTGAGAAATCAACCTCCTGGATAGCTAAATTATTTCCTTTGCAAGCTTTTTGGTATAATTCTGCAGTAAAAATGCAATTCGCTGTGAGCTTTAATAGGAGGATTTAAACCAAGAAAACCCAACCAGCCAAACCAATTTGAGAAAAGCTCTTGTTCTGTGCACTGTGCAGGGCTGGGCACAGAGCCAGCAAACGTGCTTGATGTGCGCTCTGTTCCCTCAAAAATTAGCTTTGGACAGGAGCTGTTAAGCACTGTGGCCTGATCCATGATTGCATCCAAAAATATCCCAACATCTGCTTCTTACAATCTTACTTTTAAACTCTATTGATATGTGGACATTTTTGGCTCTCCGAGAAGCAATAAAAACAAGGCGGGAGAGTTCAGTCCCTCTTCTGCTCCTGGTTTCAAGCAAAACAAAAGTTTTGGCTTCAAGTTCATGCAAGTTTTATTGCTGAGCTCAACTAAGATTTTGATTTGCTTCATCACCTCTCCCTCCTGCTCTGTCCCTGTGCTGGAGTTGTGCAATTCTTGTGGAGAGACAGGGGTGAATGGGGAAAGGCAGATAAAGGCAAGGTTCTGGCAGGAGGAGAAAAACAGGTGATGGGAGTGGGGCAGTTCTTAGAGAACCCCATTCAGTGCTGAAAAACTGCCCTCAGTTCATAGAAACAAATAATCACAGAACCACAGAATCTCTGAGTTGGGAAAAGACCACAAAGATTATTGAGTTCAGCCATTAACCAGCACCACTATGTTCACCACTAAACTCTCCTCCCCAGTGCCACATCCACACAATTCTTTGAGAACTTCCAGGGATGCTGATTGCACCACTTCCCTGGACATCTGTGCCCATGCTTGAAAACTCTTTCCAAGAAGAAATTTTCCCTAATGTGCAAACTAAACCTCCCCTGGTGGTACTTGAGGCCATTTCCTCTCCTCCTGTCCCTGTTCCCTGGGAGCAGAGCCCAACCCTACAGGTGTCCCCTCCTGTCAGGAGTTGTGCAGAGCCTGAAGGTCCCTGCTGAGCCTTCTTTTTCCCAGGCTGAGCACCCCCAGCTCCCTCAGCCTCTCCTGGTGCTCCAGACCCTTCCCCAGCTCCTTTCCCTTCCCTGCACATGCTCCAACCCCTCAGTGTCCTTCTTTCCATGAGGGGCCCAAACTGATCACAGTGCATGGAAAATCCCTCTAGGAAAAGCCAGTGTCGATAAAGGAGACAGAGGAGTCCTGCAGCTTTAATCGGGTGAAGGCAGCGAGGCCACTGGGGCACATCCCTGCAGGTTTTCTCTCTCGAGGTTTCGGAGGGCGCAGCCTCCTTTTATCCCAAACTCCGCCACTCGTTGCCCTCTTCCTTCCCCCGCTGGCCGAGGTACCAGGGAGTGTGGGAATCCAGGGCTTCCCTCTGGCTGCCCTGGAAGGTCTGGGACCCTGGCAGGGGTCAGGAACCCCCCTGGACAGAGCCCCCAGAGACACTGTCTGTGATCTCTGTCCATGGAAAAGAGTTTTCAATCTTACAGGATGAATTACAAGTTCTGAGTGTTTGATATAAGTAATAATTAAGTGTGGCACAGGTGCAAAAGTAAAACTTTAGGATTCTAGATTAGGTGTCCAAAGGGGACAAGATGGAGGAAATTGGGTGTGTTTTGTCCTTTTTCTCCTTCTTCATGCCCTCCATGTTTCACTGTGGTGTTGGCATTTTTCTGTTGGTTTGGGCTGGGGACACACTGTTCAACGTAGGTGACAGATATTGGCACGTTATTGTAAATCCAGCACAGGTAGTTTGTGGTATTTAATGTTTGTACCATCCCACTGAGGGCAGAGCCCCACACGCTGCTCTGCAGGACAGAGCTGCAGCAGGGCAGCAGAACATGTTAGAGATAAACAGAATAAACAACCTTGAAACCAGCACAGACGAATTATGTCTTCTTCTTTGGCAGCGGGGCAGAAAGACAGAGACTTTCTACAATCTCGGAATCATCAATACCTCAGATTCCGACAAGGGCGGTGCAGCCTTCCCGAACCACCTGCCACGTATCCCCCCTTGAACACGTTATTTACCCCAAAGTTCAGAAACTCAGGCTTGTGCGGCCCCACTTGGCTGTTTCAGGAGTCAAACTGGGTTCTGTAACAAACCTGCTGCTTGAAGTTTTTAATACTGAGACTTTAAGCCCCATTTCGAAGCCCTTCACAACTATCCCCTCACCCATGGAATTTTTTGTAAAGACATCAGCACACATCTTCCCTATCAACAGGATTCAAGGTGCAACCTCAAAAGTGCTGATTTCAGGGGGACAATCCCTTCCCAGCTCCTTGTTCTTGCTTACAATGCAGATGGATGGCAGAATGCCTCATGCAGATACACAGGGCGCCTGGGAGGAAAGGAAGAGAGGATTTTAAATGTTGGTAATACATGATATTTGCTCTGGGCTTGTTTCTTTAAGTAGCTTGGTTTTATCCTCTTATGAGAAAAAAATAATCTTTTCCATGCTGTTAGAATTCTGCCTTCAGAACTTAAACTTTCTTATTTTTGTCAAGCTGATGTGCTTCATTTTGGGTTTGGGTTTGCTTTTTGTTTCCTTTTTGCTATTGCTTCCATTTCAAGATGTATTCATTGCTACAGTGGGTGGAGATCAAACTATGTGTGTAATTTTTGTGTGATTTCTGTGTCCTCTTCTTCCATGTTATTACTCATTCCCTACAACTCCCTTAAAGGAGGTTGTAGCCAGATGGGGGTTGGTCTCTTCTCCCAGTGATAAAACCAGAGAAAATGGAAAACTTCTCACCAAAAGAGGAGTCAAGCACTGGCACTGCCCAGGGAGGTGGTGGAGTCACCATCCCTTGAGGGATGTAAAAGATGTGGCACTTGGGGACAGGGTTTCATGGTGACCATGTCAGTTCTGGGTAATGGTTGGAGTTGATTATCTTAGTGGTCTTTTCCAGCCCCAAACAATTCTTTGATTCTCCAATTTTGAATGAGGCCTTTGGCAAATAATAAAAGCTTTGTTTGTTATTATGAAAGAAGTGGATCTGGGAGTTGGAGGTTTTTAATTGTGGCCTTTAATCTCGCAGTGTTGGAAGAGGAGTGGGAAAATGACACCTTAGAATGAAATTAAGAAGGAAAGAGTTCTTGATTGAATGTTAGGACATCTGAAAATAATGCTTTGTCATCTCATAACCTGTGCAGACTCTGATGTACTTAAGGAATGAATTAATCACGTGACAGGTTTGTACTTAATTTTCCTTCATCTCCTGACACGTCCTTTCATTTTCAACAGTATCATTATATCATTGACCTCTGTAAAAAATACTGTATGCAAAATGAGGGATGAGAGGTGTGAAGAAGAAAAAAGAAGGAGTGCAAGTAAGGCTTTCTGTCATTGTTCTGAGCTTTATGCTTCAAATTGCTTCTGCAAGCCATTAGTTATTGCAAAGAGTATTTATTATATATAGGAAGGGGTTTGCATGTAGTCTGTCAAAAAAAAAAAAAAGCAACAGCTTTTACCAGTGGATTTATATGTTTATTCATATTATTCATGTGACTAATGTTATTATACTGGTAAATCACTTGTTGACCATGGGCACGCTCTGCAGAGCTGGGTAAAAAGGTGTAAATTATAAAAAGGTATAAAGAAGCTGTGCACTATTTACTCTGATATCTACCCTGCTACTACCCAGGGATTTTTCTGTGAAAGGTTTAAAAGTTTTGTGCCTGCTCTCTCCTTCCCCTGGACACAAAGCAAGTGGAAATTTTCTGTGTGGAAATTTGTGTGTCTCACATCAGATTTTCAGAGGGCATATGGAGTGTGGGGAAAAGTCATCAGCTGGGTTTTGTTATAGATGAATAATATTTAGAGCAAGGAAGAAAGAACAGACCACTGAGGCTGGTTCCTTGCACAAGTTTGCCATAAAAATTTGTTTATTTTGGCTGCAGCTCTACTGTCCAGCTCTAGTTAACAATTTCCAGGCTGGGAGTTGACACTGGGTGCTCTAAAGGGCAGTGATTCCTAAGAGGAGGGTCTGACAAACACCTGCTTGCAGTCTAAGTTGCAGGCTTGTTAAATCCATGTCATTTTCCCTTTCTCTGAAATATCTGCCCTGAATTTTTATAAATGGATCACAGCCTGTAGATGAAAAGCACCAATTGCCCAAAGAAAAACATCACACAGCTCATTTGGTGAAACCAAGTGAGGAGGTTCCTGCTATTTAAGGTCCCTTCCAAATTGCTTTAAGTGCAGGATGCAGTCTCAGCCATTCCCTGGGCCTTGCACCAACACTGTAAATACTACATCTCACTGATATTTGTGACTGACACACTGAGAGCTGATGGAGGCTTTTTTTTTTGGTTGTTGTTGCAGCTTAGCAACAAGCAATGACTGGCAAATTTTGCTGCTCTTCAAAATCAATGCCACTTTTCTGGATCATTTCCTCATCTTCACGATCATCTGTCAGAACAGTAAATTGACAATGTGTTCCCAGGGACAGTGTGGGGTCTGCTGCAAGCCTTGATAGTTAGAGGATGAATTTAACCTTTTGAAAGTCAAACGTGGTACGGGTTTGGATCCCACATGAGCATTAACTCGCTTTTGACACTGTTAATCTGGACGTGTTCTCTACTCCATTAAGCTTTTCCTTTATATTCAAAATATCAGTGTGAGGACATGCACTGCTTGACTCATTCACCAGTAATCCATATTTGGGGTTGTTGCTATCAATTACTGTAGTTCCTGGGAAACTTCAGCATGGATTGTGATCCTGCTGTGTGAGCCCAGAACTAAAATTGGGCTCTGTCCTTGGGAAGTGTGTGTGATGATAAAAAGCAGATGAAGAATGGATTGGGTGAGCACAGAGAAAATGAGGAAAATAACTTATTGTCATTGCAGGTGGCAGTAGCCACATGGGGTGACCACTGTTGGGGATTTTGGTGAGAACTGGAAAGAAAAGAACCATGTCTACAGGTTTGTGAGCAACTTTAGAAGAGGCAGAATTGTTGTGCACTTGTTTGGAACCACCCCAGGCGTTGTGCACTCAGGACTCCATTGGAACATAACTTTGAAATCCTTGTTTGCTCCTTACAGGTGTCAGCTTATAATCATTCAACACGTTCATTAAGAGTAATCAGCGAACAATGCTTGGTTAGGACCACCTTGCTAGAGAGGTCAGGTGCAAGGTAAAACCAGGAGATTGTGCCTAGAGTGGAGAGAAAAATCACATCAAGGTTCTACAGCTGAAGTCCTTTGCTTTTGTTTAGACAACTCTGAGGTACGAGTTCAGATTTTAAAATTCTTTTTCAGACATCTTGTTCCTGCCTATCTCTATATAAAATTTCACACTTAAACTACATTTGGCTTATTTCTTGATACTAGAGGAGACAAGTGATTGATATTTGATGGAATGAGAAGGTCATGCAAAAAAGATGAGAAGATGGTGTCAGTTTGGATATTGTAGTTGGCCAACAAAAATGAAAGTGATGCCCCTGATCACTGTGAGGAAAGGTTTGGCTCAGTCAGGGAGGAGGATTTTGGTGCTACTGAGAGAGAAAGGCCCTTCCAGAAAACATTCCCAGAACCCTCTTTGCTAAAAATTTGGAAGCTCCTCATTTTTAGGCTAAAAATCAGAAGAAAGTTACATTACCCAAATGTGACTTTGGAGCTTCCAAATCTTTAGGCTAAAAATTTGGGGGTTCCAAAGTCACATTTAGGTAATGTAACTTTCTTCTGATAGACACAGGTGAGTTTAGCCAGTACAGAACTTAACTTGTGCTCCCATCATTGCAATGAGACTCTCTGCGTGCTCTCAGATGTTTTAAAAGGCACATGTAAATTTTTCTTTTTGCAGACACACTTGTAAGGCAGTTGGGAATAAAATCTATCTTCCTAGAGTGTCTAGATGGTAAAATTAGAGAATGGTTTGGGTTGAAAGGTACCTTAGAGATCATTCAGTGCCACCCCTGCCATGTGCAGGGACATCTTCCACTACCCCAGGGTGCTCCAAGCCCTGTCCAACCTGGCCTTGGGCACATCCAGGGATCCAGGGGCAGCCAAAGCTGCTCTGGGCACCCTGTGCCAGGGTCTCCCTACCCTCAGAGTGAGGAATTTCTTCATATTGAATCTAAACCTCCCCTCCTTCAGACAGGTCGACCACCTGAGCCCCTGCAGCATGGGATGTATGCCTTGTTTGATAGAGATGCTGTGATATCTGTGAGATCACCACTAGACATTCCAGTATTCCATGTTACTGGGAAACTCATGATCTGATCAGTTCTCTTGAATCTTGAATACCTCAAGGATCTGATGACAAATTCATCCATCCCAAGGGAAAAAAAAAAAAAATGTTTATAAAACTGTTGATAAGTCTGTGTTACCACTCTCA